TGTCCCAGGATAGAGCCCCGAGGCACTCCACTTACAACAAATGTCCCAGGATAGAGCCCCGAGGCACTCCACTTACAACAAATGTCCCCCAGGATAGAGCCCCGAGGCACTCCACTTACAACAAATGTCCCAGGATAGAGCCCCGAGGCACTCCACTTACAACAAATGTCCCCCAGGATAGAGCCCCGAGGCACTCCACTTACAACAAATGTCCCCCAGGATAGAGCCCCGAGGCACTCCACTTACAACAAATGTCCCAGGATAGAGCCCCGAGGCACTCCACTTACAACAAATGTCCCCCAGGATAGAGCCCCGAGGCACTCCACTTACAACAAATGTCCCAGGATAGAGCCCCGAGGCACTCCACTTACAACAAATGTCCCCCAGGATAGAGCCCCGAGGCACTCCACTTACAACAAATGTCCACCAGGATAGAGCCCCGAGGCACTCCACTTACAACAAATGTCCCAGGATAGAGCCCCGAGGCACTCCACTTACAACAAAGGTCCCAGGATAGAGCCTTGAGGCACTCCACTTAAAAACGGTTCCCCACACTTAGATTTTACTCTAGAATAAAAAAAAGAAGTACCTCAAAGAAGGTAATAAGGCACTTACAAGCAATATAGTGCAATAACCAGTAAGTTTAGTATTGCTTTACGTAGGCAGGGATTTCCATCATTACTTGTTATCTCCTTTTATTTCCATGGTGTGTATGCCTCGAGTTGTTGATTCTGGGTATAGGACTTTCTAGACAATATTTGCGATCATGTGCATGATGTCTGTGTCTGTTTGTGTCATAGTCTCTGGCTTTTTGGTTCTGTTTCAGGCATTCAGTGTGGTAGAAAGGTGGGTAGGTAGGTGAGGAGGTGGGGCAGGTAGGTGAGGAGGTGGGCAGGCAGGCAGGTGAGGAGGTGGGGCAGGCAGGTGAGGAGGTGGGGCAGGTAGGTGAGGAGGTGGGACAGGTAGGCGAGGAGGTGGGCAGGCAGGTGAGGAGGTGGGGCAGGTAGGTGAGGAGGTGAGGCAGGTAGGTGAGGAGGTGGGCAGGCAGGCAGGTGAGGAGGTGGGCAGGTAGGTGAGGAGGTGGGGCAGGTAGGTGAGGAGGTGGGGCAGGTAGGTGAGGAGGTGGGCAGGTAGGTGAGGAGGTGGGCAGGTAGGTGAGGAGGTGGGGCAGGTAGGTGAGGAGGTGGGGCAGGCAGGTGAGGAGGTGGGGCAGGCAGGTGAGGAGGTGGGCAGGTAGGTGAGGAGGTGGGGCAGGTAGGCAGGTGAGGAGGTGGGGCAGGCAGGTGAGGAGGTGGGGCAGGCAGGTGAGGAGGTGGGCAGGTAGGTGAGGAGGTGGGGCAGGTAGGTGAGGAGGTGGGGCAGGTAGGTGAGGAGGTGGGCAGGCAGGCAGGTGAGGAGGTGGGGCAGGCAGGTGAGGAGGTGGGGCAGGTAGGTGAGGAGGTGGGGCAGGTAGGCGAGGAGGTGGGCAGGCAGGTGAGGAGGTGGGGCAGGCAGGCGAGGAGGTGGGCAGGCAGGGGAGGAGGTGGGCAGGCAGGCAGGGGAGGAGGTGGGCAGGCAGGCGGGCGGGCAAGCACAGGTACACTCCCCAGTGAGTCGGTACCCAAGGTCGCCCTGGTCCAGGTTTTTGTAATGACCAAAAAACTGGAGCAGAGGTCCGCTAGGGCTGCCGCGGGCGACCGTTAAGCTCAGGACAGCGCCGGAAACGGTGGCTTCTATTACCTCTTGTATGTCATCCCGCTATATTTGATTTAATTAGTTTTATCGGGGACAGAAAGCCTGAGTATTTATACTTTAGGTTTGTATCGAAGTGCCTCCTAGGTCGAACTCCTGACCTTCCTCAGAAATGCAATCTCACAACTCTTGAATAACTTCTGGGTAGCTGTTTACTTCCAGTCAACCTGAAGAGGGGACGGACGGAGGAAGGGAATGGTTCAAAGGGTTAGGGGAAGCTGAGGGGGTGGGGAGAGGTTAGGGTAGGCTAAGGGAAGGGGAGAGGTTAGGGGAGGCTTAGGGGATGGGTGTGAATTAGGGAAGGTGGTGAGGCGATTCTGTCGTCCAACAAGTCGTTGCTACGTCGTCCTTGGAGTCTCGTAGACAGAGTAAGTGCGTCATTAGCGTGGGACTTTATGTTCCTTGTCCTGGATGACGGGGGTAAGGTAGCGTTGAGACCTGTGAGACACTCCAGCTTGGCTCACCTCACCTCACGCAGACTCTGGAACTCTAGGCTCAAGCTTCCAGCCTTTCCTCAGCTCATGTAAGCATACAACTCAACCACAGAGCTCCAGCGGCGTTCCAGAGGTTCCAGGAAAATGATCGGCGCTCTCTTCCTCTCTTTAATGTTGCTTAAAGAAAGGTTTCTGCTGGATTAGAAGAGTGGAACACGAATTATATAGTGTAAAGGGAAATGGGATTTGCTACTGAGATGCAGAGCTTGAATTGGATCGTGTAGGGTAAAGTGAGAAATGATTATATTATTGATAAGTCAATGTTTTCACGCATTGCTTCAATCGCCCGCGTGAACCCACCCACACGCACACTGGGTGAGAGAATACCTGGCACACTGAAATCAGTTATGGATACCGAACTAGAAAGTGAAATGGAGAGAAGCTGAAAGTGGAGTTCGTCAGGGACTGTTAACAGGACCGATACAAGGGCAGAGCATTACTGCAAAAATTTGTTTAACTACTTGAAGAAGCTTCAGCAGAGAGGCTGCAGGATCCAGTAAGTTCAGTAGAACTTCGATTTCAACTCTTTTGACTATGTCGTAGCTCAATCGATTAAGGCGGCGTCCGGAATGCTCCCGGACGTAGGTTCGAATCCTCGTCACGGCCCTTGTGGATTTGTTCATAAGCTTCAGCAGAGGCTAAATAGGAGCCTACTGGAATAAATCTCACAAAATTGAAAACCGTAAAGAGGATAAAGGAGAGATGAGACCGCGAGTACAGTATAGCCTAAGAGCCGGCGGCTCATGTGACCCAAGTCGAAGGACTTGTAACTACGAGACTACATCAAATGACCATCATATGATAAACCTGCACTAGAGTATGCAGCACCAGCTTGGGACCCCTATCATCTTAAAACAGCTACTTGAGAAGGTCCGAAGACTTGCCACAAGGGCTAAAAGAAAAACAAAATGCTCAGCAGTACAGGCCAGTGTGCATTACAAGTCTGTTCAGTATGGTTTAGAACAGGACCAATTGCCATCTTGAGGTTATCTGGAGATGATTTCGGGGCTTTAGTGTCCCCGCGGCCCGGTCCTCGACCAGGCCTCCACCCCCAGGAAGCAGCCCGTGACACCTGACTAACATCCAGGTACCTATTTTACTGCTAGGTAACAGGGGCATAGGGTGAAAGAAACTCTGTCCATTGTTTCTCGCCGGCGCCTGGGATCGAACCTAGGACCACAGGATCACAAGTCCAGCGTGCTGTCCGCTCGGCCGACCGGCTCCATAGATGGAAACTAACACCTGCAGATATATAAGGAAGTATTGTTTCAACGAGTAAATGAAATTATATATATACGGGCTCACCCTAGCCCGTGCTACTTGGAACTTTTTGTTCCAGGTAGCGAATCTACAACAACAACAACAGAGTAAATGAACCAAGGATGAGGGTCAGTGCCTTATACTATCTCCAGAGTAGATATAACCAACTGGAAGAGTTTTTAAGAGTATTTGTATTAGATGGCAGATGAGGCGGGGCCCGAGAGCTGTGGTTCATTCCCAGCAGATACAAACATACGTGCATGTGTCCTCTTCTTCCTTATATTTTTTCATGTCATTATTTAAATTTTCATCTTCACCCTTCTTGGTTTCTTTCCCTAATTCCCAGTTCTTTCTGCTCTTTTTCCTTTTCTCCTTTCATCCACATTTTTTCTGTTTACTCTTTCCTCCTAGTCATCCTTCTCGTATTCCTTCATTTTCTCTTCTTCTCTACCACCTTCTCCTCATCCATTCTCCTACTTCCTCCTCCCCCCCCCCCTCCCCACCACTTAACAAAGGGCCTGTCGACCTTGCAGTATATATTTGGACTACAGCACTAGATATATTATCAACTAAACCGCTCGGTTTTTACCCCGACAATATTGCTTCCACAATATGCTTCAGACTGGAGTGCGTCTGTCGATTTCAATCTCTCCAAATGGTTCCTGGCGCGTGTTTTTTGTATAAAAAAATATAAAATAAAATGTTTATTTAGGTAAGGTACATACATACAATAAATTTTTACAAAGATTGGTTGACTTATAGGTAGAGCTAGTACATACAATGCCTAAAGCCACTATTACGCAAAGCGTTTCGGGCATGACATTTCGGGTATCTGGTGTTTGTAAATATGTTTGGATGGGTTCGTTGTGTTTTATCACTATGTATAAATGTTTGGGTGTATTTGCTCACCTGAAGGGCAAGAATTGGCGGGAAGAAGGTTGTAAATTGTGGGCCTTGAATGGAAATCAGTTATAAAGACCTTGAATGATATTCACGAAAGATTTTTATACAAGAGGTTCCCTGGGTGAAGAATGGCGATCAGTCGTTTCATACCCTGTACCCTGTGTCTTCCCCCTAGTAATGAGCTCAGGGGATGTCACCCATACTTCCTCTATTAATTGTGTCCAGGACGAAAAACTAGAATTCAGACTTAGACATTCCTAGGCCTATTATAACATATATATGTTTTAGTCATAGGATAGCGTGGACAGGTCAGATTCGTTAGTTAAATTTCCAATTTTCTTGAATGTCATTTTGGCTATTTCAGTAATACTAAATGTGAGCTTTTGGGGCTGCATAAGTACTTATTGGTACTTTTGACCAGTTTATATAAGTACTATCATTTTGAGGAGATGAGCTGATTTTTTTGTTATATATTGACAAAAAAAAACTATTGACACTATTGAATTGGTATGGGGTTTAAGGCCTATCAACCTCTGGATATATATATATACCGAGAAGATGGGTTTACCTCTTATATATATATTATGACGTGAGGGTAATATATGAATATAGTGTAACACATGAATTTTCTATTCAAACGCAATGACATTTTAACATCCAATTTTACATGGTTTTCCTTTTTATTTGTCTTTACAAAAATGAAACGTACGATCTTAGCCGTTACCTTGAGAACTTATGGAGTAGACGTGTCCCATTGGCCATAGAGTATAGATATTTCTGTTCACAAAGTTGAACAAGATCTCGTCGGATGTGTAGATCACATGGCTTAAAAATTATTTCACTTCTTATTTTGTGATATGATTCATTTGTTCGAAATTTGGAGACGCCACATCAGAGGGTTTGTTGCTGGGTAGTGTCCTTGGGAGGTCGAAGTTGGATTAGCTTAGCTCACTTTGCGGGTGTCCACGGGCAAGTCTGAAGCTGCTACTCTAAATCCCGTGGCTGGTGAAGCACCGTATTTCCTCACTTCGACGTCTCCGTCGGGGTTGACGTAGGCGAAGCTGCCGGATGTGCGTCCCAGGAAGTCCCGGGTCTCCACCCTGGTGTTGGGGCCGCCCCAGTGAGCGAAGGAGTACTGTCCAGCTTCGTCCTGGGCGTGGAACTGACCTCCGACGAAGGGCTCGCCCACTGAGGGCAGAGGGGGATCAGGGGCCAGCAGGGGTTCAGGGGCTGCAGCCACCACTACAGGAGTTGGGGCAGCATACTGGCCTGGTGTAGCCACCTGGAACGTCTGGACTTGAGTGGCAGCAGGCGCTGGTGCAGCATACTGGCCTGGTGCAGCTACCTGGAACGTCTGGACTTGAGTGGCAACAGGCGCTGGTGCAGCATACTGGACTGGTGCAGCGACGTGGATGGGTGCAAAGTATTGTACAGGGGTTGGGGCCCTGAAGGTGATGCCTGGTTTCCTGATACGGGTTACGGCTGGGCTCTGGGACAGGGCGTGGAGGATGATTGGGCTGGTACCGACGGTAGAGTAAGGCAACGCCGGCAACACATACACCGTACTACCGTAGCAGGCCGTGGCCAGCAGTAACACCTGGAATACAACAGGCGTGTTAGGGAATACTGACATACGCAGCAGTGACAGGGAACGCTCCAGCAACACACCGGAGATATCGGGGGACCCTGGCTGATGTAACAATTAAGGAACATCAGAGAACACTACTAGGAACTCCATACGGGAATAACAATTGACAATTACTTCATCGTATACGTGACCACGTCAAGAATGACAGCCAACTCATCCACGTGGACCTATTAATTGAAATTGAAATTGAAATAAGTTTATTGAGGTAAAATACACACAAAGGGATGAGGTAGCTCAAGCTATTCTCACCCCGTTCAGTACATCGTGTTAATACATACATATAAACACATCACAAACAATAAACATATTACCAAACATTCTGAGAGATAAACATCTACATTTCCTCCTTTAAGGACCTATTAAGGAACTCCTGGAACCCTTATTTCCAACACGGCTGGACACGTGATTCCAGGTGAGGTACTCATCTCTGCCATGCCGAGGGCGCGTAAGAGGATAAGATGCGTTCTCTAAACACTTGGTAAAGTACCTCAACATAAGATGGATTAATCATTGTGTTAAGGGTATCTTAGAACTCGAACCGGATCTCAAGTTTTATGAAAACCAGATCTGAATTGTATGACACATCTATAGACTATTTTTATGGCATTGTCAACATTCTTATAGCTAAAAGGAACGTAACAAACATCTGGGTTAAAGATATTTAATTAATAAACATGAACACGAACTTGTATACACCTTGAAGCCCACGTCTGAAGTCCAAATTAATAGTCAAGTCTGGAGCCCACTGAAGCTGCCCAGATTAATTCAGTGAAATCTGAAGCTTGCTGAACCCTTGCTGATCAAGTAAAGAACTTTGCAATATCAACGTTATTCCAAAACAATGTTAAATAGTATTTTATTGACATAACTACTGTATTTAAGTGCCTTAATCAACATTTATCCATCTTGTTTTGATAAATTCATTAGTAAATTGCATTTAACATACTTAGAGCCAATATCGTTGGTCAAGGGAGGACCTTGAGCATCCCAACAGGCTTGCTGTCCCCGACAAAGAGAACCACAACTCACAATATAGCAAGAAAAAAGAAGTCGAAGAAAATAAGCTAGTTAGTGATGAAAATGAAATACAGAAAACCTGAAATCCTTGAAACGGGGGAAACTGTGTTATATATGTAATTCAATCGTCGTTTCTGGTTTATACTTGATTTACCTGAGGGGCCACTAACCCTAGTAGCCTCGACGAGGACAGGAGGTCGGCGGCTTGTCGAAGGTCCTCCCTATTTGCCTTGATTGCCTTGCCTTATAATAATAATTCTCCGTTGAAAATATAAATGCACTTTCGAAATTTGCTGTTTGATATTATACAGTGTAGGAAATGACACCTCTTTAACCACCATAGATTGTGTATGTTCACGTAACTCACTCAAATGTAGTCCAAGGAGTCTACAGCACTCTTTACACAAGAGGTATTTCCCTTGTGTATATATATATACAGAAAGTTTACTCTAGTCTTGGACTGTGCTCGGGGCAGAGTACCTGGGAGGGAGGCTACAGGCGCAGATCACCGGACAGAGTACCTGGGAGGGAGACTACAGGCGCAGATCACCGGACAGAGTACCTGGGAGGGAGACTACAGGCGCAGATCACCGGACAGAGTACCTGGGAGGGAGACTACAGGCGCAGATCACCGGACAGAGTACCTGGGAGGGAGGCTACAGGCGCAGATCACCGGACAGAGTACCTGGGAGGGAGGCTACAGGCGCAGATCACCGGACAGAGTACCTGGGAGGGGAACTACAGGCGCAGATCACCGGACAGAGTACCTGGGAGGGAGACTACAGGCGCAGATCACCGGACAGAGTACCTGGGAGGGAGACTACAGGCGCAGATCACCGGACAGAGTGCCTGGGAGGGAGGCTACAGGCGCAGATCACCGGACAGAGTACCTGGGAGGGAGACTAGGGACACAGATCACTCACCAGGAGTTTCATGTTGGGATGCGAGGGTGTAGCGAGGGCGGGAGGAGGAAGAGGACCGTGGCGGACACTGACGACACGGAGGGGGAAGAGCGCTCTTATATACATCACGTTGCCCCGGCCACCCCCCTCGCTGGGTCGCTCCTGCAGGAGTAGCATCTGCCTCCCCTCACGACCATCTTCCACCATTTTTCACGTCCTTCCCGCTTCTCTTCGCTGCTAATGGGGCTAGTCTGGTGGACGCTCAGTCCACCAGGCGACCCCCATTAGCAGCCATTTCTATCCTGCAGTCACCAAACTTCAGTCTTGGAGATACATGGATATGTATGGAGATACAGTCTTGGAGATGCATATATATGTTAAGAGCTTTCGTGGTGCTGCTTCGAACAATAACTCTACTGGCCTTTTATGGACCAGATAAAAACACTCCTGTTCACTTTGCATGGTAACGAAAAAAACAGCTTTTTGTTGCGAAATGATCACACACACACAGACACCTCTTCCCCTGCGGCGGAGGAGCCCGTCTTGTCCTGCGTACTGCTATACACTCCTCAAGACCTTCCTTCTGTACCCCTCTTAAACTCAAGGCACTTTAGGTGGATTGTAAATACGGGCATTTTGAACTGTGTCCGTTGACCAGACTACACACTAGAAGGTGAAGGGACGACGACGTTTCGGTCCGTCCTGGACCATTCTACCGACTTGAGAATGGTCCAGGACGGACCGAAACGTCGTCGTCCCTTCACCTTCTAGTGTGTGGTCTGGTCAACTTACTTTAGCCACGTTACTGTGACTCATCGCCTCCATATGTGTCCGTCTCTACAGTTTGTGAACACTTAGGTGAGGAATTTTCTGGGAAAATGGACTCGACCTATCCGTTAAAAATACGATGTATTAATTAATCAAAATTAGAACACCGTAAAATTGACGTTTTCTGTGCAACGATGTCAATAGGTTAGGTGGGATGCTTGGGCTTGTCGGTTCCAGGTTAGGTCAAAACACTTATTGTCTACTAACTGGCAGACTGAGAGAAACGGACTGAGACATGGGGGGGGGGGATTGTTTGTGTCTGCAGACTTAACGCTTCTTTAGAACACTAGAGAAGTGTTAAGTCTGCGGACACAGACAATGCTCTCTTCTGCTAAGTTAGGGACTCTTAATCATGCTATGGATTGGTCTTTCTGAAATAATCTTTCCTGCCTCTATTTCACAGACGCCGATTGATTGATAAAGATTAAGCCACCCAAAAGGTGGCACGGGCATGAATAGCCCGTAAGTGGTGGCCCTTTTGAGCCATTACCAGTATCAATAGATGATACTGGAGATCTGTGGAGGCGCGACTGCACCCTGCGTGACGGGAGATGTCTCCCGTGTGGAGAAGGGAAAGACAGACGCCGTCTTGTCGACTTGGCTCTGATACACAACATACTCAACATGAACCTTTGTTGCTGTTGACTCTTACCTTTCTCAGTACATAACCTAAATGCTCCAACTTTCTTAACAAACGTGACCTTAACCTATTCCCCCCTTTACTTTAACTATAAGGGGGTAGGTTACCAGCGCGCTGGTTTTAGTCTAGTTTTAATGATATTATCTTGGTGGCGGAGGTAGGTGTAGAGTGTTCACTAGTGTGTCACATTCTGCAACTGCTTTTCTAACCATTGTAGTCACTGTGGATTTTGCATTTAATTCAGCTGCTTTTGTTGGATTGATTGATGATTGATGAAGATTAAGCCACCCAAGAGGTGGCACGGGCATGAATAGCCCGTAACTCTTGTTGAATGTTGTTGTTTTAGATTTAGCTACTCAGAACGAAATGTTCATGTAGCACGAGCTATGGTGACCCCGTGTCTTATTGATTGATTGATTGATAAAGATTAAGTACTCAAGAGGTGGCACGGGCATGAATAGCCCGTAAGTGGTGGCCCTTTTGAGCCATTACCAGTATCAAGAGCTGATACTGGAGGTCTGTGGAGGTGCGACTGCACCCTGCGCGTCGGGAGATGTCTCCCGTTGTCCAAAAAACTCTAATCGTGTTGATTGATTGATTGATGATTGATAAAGATTAAGCCACCCAAGAGGTGGCACGGGCATGAATAGCCCGTAAGTGGTGGCCCTTTTGAACCATTACCAGTATCAAAAGATGATACTGGAGATCTGTGGAGGTGCGACTGCACCCTGCGTCCCTCCAATCGTGTTGAAAGGAACGGGCCAATAAATAAGGAAATAGTGAGGTGAGGAGCAGGTAAGAGAAGAAGGTAGTTTCTAGAAGAAGGTAGGAGTAATTTATTATTATTATTTTCTACCACAGACGAGCACGCACGACCTGATGATGGTCCAAGGACGGAGCGAAACGAAGTCGTTTCTCCACCTTCTGGTGTGTGGTTTGGTCATCATACATATGCTATTGTGTGTCATCTTCCCTAGCAACGCGGCCCCATCCTCCCCGAGCACACACTCCTCACCCTCAACGATTGACGCGTGGCATAATTCCACTTTTTCTACCCGTCCGTGAACTTCGTAGTGACCTTGCGTTACGGGGCGGGGCGGGGCGGGGCGGGGGAAGGCTGCGGTCCCCAGCCACTTCTCCTAGGCTCCCCCCGGCCCACTACCTCCTGGTAGTGCTTACTGATTTATTACGAACATCATTTGGAACCTTTGGAGTGTTGTTGATGGGTTGTAGCAGTAGGCATCCATCAGTCTCAGGAGACTACGGAGTTGCGTTTTAGTTCAAGTATGTTTATTGAGACAAGAAAGAAATACATCTCAAAGGGATAGAGTAGCTTAGGCTATTTCTACCCCCCCCCCCCTGCGCTCTGGTTGTCAGTCTGGAGTGGCCTCTCCAGGGCGCGAAGCCAGGGTAGGTTGATACAGAGAAGCTGTTACCCATGCAGCAGGTCTTTCCCTCTCCACAGCGCCGAAAGTCTCCAAAAGTCCCCAAGTTGTAACTGTGTTGTTAAACTTGACGCGGGGGTGCATGCTGCTTGTGTTTGATGGAGACGTTTGCCCATCGTAGGAAGGGATGAGAGGTTAGAGGCTAGATGGTATCCTCACATTGTGGAGCATGGTGGATGGTGGCTTGGGGGGGGGGGTGATGCCATATATTTTATGACATGGATGGAAGGCAATGGGTGACATTTATGGGTGACGTGGATGGATGACAATGGAGAAGGGGAATGACGAACAGAGACGTGGTATTTATGAAGTCTTAAAGATCTATATTAGGTCTTGAGAAGTACGGTTCATGCTGTACTGAGGACGACCTTGCCCCCCCCCTGCCCCCCCCCCCAGGGTCACGCCCCAGGTGGGCCCCGGAGCTCAAGGCCACCAAGGTACAGGTGAGGGGTAGGGGGGTGACCTTGGTGCTGGTAATGTGGGTATTGGGTAGGGTGATGGGGGCGGCGTGGGGTGGTGATAGTGGGTAGTGGATCATGGAGCACTGAGAGAGGGAGGAGCACTAGGTACACCTGATAGTTACCCCTACTCCCCCATGTGTTGTGGTTACCTTTACCTTGAGGTTACCTTGAGGTTACCTTGAGGTTACCTTGAGGTGCTTGAGGTTACCTTGAGGTTACCTTGAGGTTACCTTGAGGTTACCTTGAGGTTACCTTGAGGTACCTGGTACTGGTAACTATGATCAGTACTACATGTTGTTGTTGTTTAAGATTCGCTACCTGGAACAAAAAGTTCCAGGCAGCACGGTCTATGGTGAGCCCGTAGTTCTTATATAAAGTACTGCAGGAGCAACCGTTCCTCAACCTTGGAAGGACATGTTGATACAGAGATGCTGTAGTGAAGTGTTAAGGGAGATGGAGCCTTACAGCGCTCGCCTATAAGGACTCTAGTCACATCCCTCCATTACGGCATTACACGCACCCATGTACGCGCAGGGGCCTCGCGGCCGAGTGAACAGCGCTCGGGGATCGCAGTCGGCTCAAAAATCACGCTCAGGAGTCAAATTTCCAACATTTCAGATATATTGAAAAGTGATTTACAAGCCGAATTCTGACTCTCAGCACTTATTTTCATTTTCAAATTACGACTTTTTATACCGAAAATATGTCAATTACTGAAAACGGCGATGGGTCATATTTTGACCATGACAAAATTTGCCCATTTGGGCAAAATGTGACCCACCGCCGCTTTCAGTAATTGTCATATTTTTGGTATAAAAAGTCGGAATTTCAAACTGCGAATAGGTGCAGAGAGCCAGAGTTTTTTTTCCAAAATATGGATCAGGTATCGAATTTGGGATGTTTTGAAAACTACAAGGGGGGTTTGGGCAAAATGTGACCCACCGCCGCTTTTAGTAATTGGCATATTTTTGGTATAAAAAGTCGGAACTTCAAACTGCGAATAGGTGCAGAGAGCCAGAATTTGGGTCCAAAATATGGCTCAGGTATCGAATTTGGGATGTTTGGGATATTTTGAAAACTGAAGGGGGGTTTGGGCAAAATGTGACCCACCGCCGCTTTTAGTAATTGGCATATTTTTGGTATAAAAAGTCGGAACTTCAAACTGCGAATAGGTGCAAAGAGCCAGAATTTGGGTCCAAAATATGGCTCAGGTATCGAATTTGGGATGTTTGGGATATTTTGAAAACTGCAGGGGGGCTACTGGAGACACTATCTTGAGGTTATCTTGAGATGATTTCGGGGCTTTAGTGTCGCCGCGGCCCGGTCCTCGACCAGGCCTCCACCCCCCAGGAAGCAGCCCGTGACAGCTGACTAACACCCAGGTACCTATTTTACTGCTAGGTAACAGGAGCATAGGGTGAAAGAAACTCTGCCCATTGTTTCTCGCCGGCGCCTGGGATCGAACCCAGGACCACAGGATCACAAATCCAGTGTGCTGTCCGCTCGGTCGACCGGCTCCCTTGCACTACAGGTAAGTTCTGGCAGTGAGGACACATTCTCACTGTGTTGGTGTTATTTTTTTATTCAACTACTCGGAAAAAAAGTTGCCAGTAGCACGGGCTATGGCGAACCCGTAAGTGGAGGCTCTTTGGCGCCATTACCAGTATCAATAGCTGATTCTGGAGATCTGGGGGATGGGGTTTGTGTCTCAATGTGCTGTTGTTATTGTTTTAGATTCAGCGACTAGGGGCAAAAAGTTCTAAGTAGCACGGGCTATGGTGAGCCCGTAGTGGACTTACCTGGCACAGGAGCGGGGCAAGTAGCACGGGCTATGGTGAGCCCGTAGTGGACTTACCTGGCACAGGAGCAGGGCAAGTAGCACGGGCTATGGTGAGCCCGTAGTGGACTTACCTGGCACAGGAGCGGGGCAAGTAGCACGGGCTATGGTGAGCCCGTAGTGGACTTACCTGGCACAGGAGCGGGGCAAGTAGCACGGGCTACGGTGAGCCCGTAGTGGACTTACCTGGCACAGGAGCGGGGCAAGTAGCACGGGCTATGGTGAGCCCGTAGTAGCCTTACCTGGCACAGGAGCGGAGCTGTAACTGTGGATGTCTCTCTCACTGTTCACCAACCTGGGTATAAATGTATGTTGCTGCGTGACGTCAGCAGGAGAGTTGCGCGGCGTTGCAAGGTCACTGTTGCATCGACGGTGTCAAACGGGTTGTGGCGGCGACGGCTTGAGCCTCTGATGGCGTAGCACCACGGTACGGTGGACGCTGTGACGGGGGGTAGAAATAGCCTAAGCTACTCTATCCCTTTGAGATGTATTTATTGCTTATCTCAATAAACATACTTGAACTTGACGCTGTGTCCACCATGACGGCCTTCCGGCGCTCTTGCTTCCACCATCTGAAGCACCGAACTCTTCCCCTGATCTAAGGTAACCCGTCCACAGTTCACAGGACGGAGTCGGTCGTCGCCGGGACGTGGGTTACTCGGGGTCTCTGAAGCTCTCAAACACGCTTGTTTTTGTGGGTTTTAAGACGTAGAGGCATCAGGCACGCCGAAGGGAAACTCCCCTGAATCATTTTTTTTCCCCCACGGGGTCCCCGGTTGGGTGTGGTCGCCCCGGAATCTCACCCTGTGGGAAAGGGAGAGATTCCGGATTCCGGAAAGGGTGAGATTCTATGGGGTGATTCGAGGGAAAAGGGAAAGGACTAAGAGAGGGAGCCTGAGATGGGGCGGCTCATTTCACAAGCTTCTCTTACATCTTCTTTTCCTCCGCTGCTCCTCTCCTGTGTATGTTATTGGTCAATGACTCGAAGCTTTCTTATATGGCAGTCTCCGTGGTGTAGTGGTAAGACACTCGCCTGGCGTTCCGCGAGCGCTATGTCATGGGTTCGTATCCTGGCCGGGGAGGATTTACTGGGTGCAATTCCTTAACTGTAGCCTCTGTTTAACGCAACAGTAAAATGTGTACTTGGATGAAAAAACGATTCTTCGCGGCGGGGGATCGTATTCCAGGGACCATAGGATTAAGGACTTGCCCGAAACGCTACGCGTACTAGTGGCTCTACAAGAGTGTAACAACTCTTGTATATATCTCAAAAAAAAAAAAAAAAAAATAAGGTGAAAATCACTAACTCATCATGTGTTACGTTAACTCACTGATGAATGCTATTCATGTACACTATAAGTTGATGATACCGTTGACGATTGATCAGGGAATCGTCATTTGACTCTTGCCCAACCACTTGGGGGTGGACGGTAGAGCGACGGCCTCGCTTCATGCAGGTCAGCGTTCAATCCCCGACCGTCCACAAGTGGTTAAGCACCATTCCTTTCACCCCCGTCCCATCCCAAAGCCTTATCCTGATCCCTTCCAAGGGCTATATAGTCGTAATGGCTTATCGTTTTCTCCTGATCGTTCCCTTTCACCCTTGCGCTTTTTGAAGAGACCCATGTGTAGCTACACCTGGTAAACTTAGCAAGTAAATCTACACCTGGTAAACTAAGCAAGTAAATCTACACCTGGTAAACTAAGCAAGTAAATCTACACCTCGTAAACTAAGCAAGTAAATCTACACCTGGTAAACTAAGCAAGTAAATCTACACCTCGTAAACTAAGCAAGTAAATCTACACCTGGTAAACTAAGCAAGTAAATCTACACCTGGTAAACTAAGCAAGTAAATCTACACCTGGTAAACTAAGCAAGTAAATCTACACCTGGTAAACTAAGCAAGTAAATCTACACCTGGTAAACTAAGCAAGTAAATCAAAGCAACAGGTATACCAGCGTGTCCTTCAACCTCAGGGATCCAGTTTTGGAAGATGTCGCATCAGTGATGGTCAGGTGGGTGGATGAGTGTGGATGAGTGGGGGGGGGGGGGCAGAGAGGATGCCCTCACACGCACGATAACGACCTAAGAATAGAGGAAACTGTACAATCTCCAACCCAACTCATTCATATATGAGTCTAACTTATACCTAACACAGTCCCGCGATCCCAATTTGCTCCATAAACCAACAACCCTATTCCCAAACCTGTATTTACCCAGGGATTTTTTCCTCGAGTATCATCTGTTCTCCATAAATTCGCCTGTGAAGGGAGTATAGACCTTCTGTACTTGTGTGCAAGAGTCGCAGAGGGGGCCTAGATTGTGGAGTCCAGTGACCATGGGATGCGATTTAAGACCTTATGTTCTTTTCCATACGGTCGAGGGATGTCGTTACCTAGGGTTCCAAGGCCAGTTGCGAACTGATCCTGGTTATTATCCCTGTGTCACTCCTATTTACGGGCTAGTTCCGCCCATCATTCAACCCTACCACCACCACCAGCGACCGTTAGGCAGGCTTGACCATGTTCACAAAATTGATGACGAACAAGCTAAATAACACTTTTTATTCTTTTGGGTAAACTGTAGGTACTTTCGGTGGATTGAGGTAAGTTCCTAAGGGAAATTGGATAGGGAGAACCAAATGAAATTAATGTAATGGGGTGGAATGGGGAGGGAGTTAAGCCTTGATGGGGTGGGTTGGAAATTGTCAATAGAAAGTGCCAAGCCAGTGTGACTATATAGCTCTTGCAAGGGATATGAGAACAAGGTGCTGGGATATGAGGACAAGGTGCTGGGATATGAGGGCAAGGAGCTGGGATATGAGGACAAGGAGCTAAAATATGAGGACAAGGAGCTAGAATATGAGAACAAGGAGCTAGAATATGAGGACAAGTAGCTAGAATATGAGGACAAGTAGCTAGAATATGAGAACAAGGAGCTAAAATATGAGGACAAGGAGCTAGAATATGAGAACAAGGAGCTAGAATATGAGGACAAGGAGCTAGAATATGAGGACAAGTAGCTAGAATATGAGGACAAGGAGCTAGAATATGAGAACAAGGAGCTAAAATATGAGGACAAGGAGCTAGAATATGAGACAAGGAGCTAGAATATGAGGACAAGGAGCTAGAATATGAGACAAGTAGCTAGAATAAGGACAAGTAGCTAGAATATGAGAACAAGGAGCTAAAATATGAGGACAAGGAGCTAGAATATGAGAACAAGGAGCTAAAATATGAGGACAAGTAGCTAGAATATGAGGACAAGGAGCTAGAATATGAGAACAAGGAGCTAAAATATGAGGACAAGGAGCTAGAATATGAGAACAAGTAGCTAGAATATGAGGACAAGGAGCTAGAATATGAGGACAAGTAGCTAGAATATGAGGACAAGTAGCTAGAATATGAGGACAAGGAGCTAGAATATGAGGACAAGGAGCTAGAATATGAGGACAAGGAGCTAGAATATGAGGACAAGGAGCTAGAATATGAGGACAAGGAGCTAGAATATGAGGACAAGGAGCTAGAATATGAGAACAAGGAGCTAGAATATGAGGACAAGGAGCTAGAATATGAGGACAAGGAGCTAGAATATGAAGACAAGGAGCTAAGATATAAGTACGGAATGAATGCGCGATGCCCAATCACTTGGACTATCGGAATTAAGTCTTTAAGACAGTCCGGAGGAGGAGGATGAGAAAGGAGTTTAGCTCTTCATGGACCAGAGAGGAAGGAGATCACTCCTTATAGGGGAAGAGGAGCAGGGTGGAGTGTAAATATCTTGTCAGGGCAGGGAGACGGGGGTTGGGGGGGGGGGTGATGAGAGGATATATATAAGAAGGCGACCCTCACCTCCTACTCAAGTCTTCCGAGGAGCGCCACTGGCCGCCACCAGGATGAGAGCTCTGGTCAGTATAGTAGTCCGCTTCACACATCTACTCTCAGTGAAAATTATCTATCAATGCACTAGTGTTTATACTGAATTTGTATATTAATTATCTGTTGCGTATTAAAATATTTTAAGATATTTACTCTTTAGCATCTCGACTGGTCCAAGTAAACAAAGAATTTAGTATGGTCTTGAGAAATGTACTTGTTTAACTTTTAGTTGGAAGTGGTTTCTGTCCCTTCCCTTAGATGCAGTTCACGGTTATGTAACACCGGGATAAAGGAGATACATGTCATTATCTGCCCGAAGAAAATTCTAAGCCACTACATGTAAACAACACGTCTTTCAGATTTTAGCGGTAGCAGTGGTGTGTTGTGCCGCTAGACCCACGAAGCGAGAAACGCGAACGGATTACGCTTTCCCGCCGTCACGCGATCCACCAGTAGTGACGATTCTCAGGTCTTCCGTCCCTCAGATCAACGCCCTCACAACCGCTGCCAGCCACGCCCCGCTCATCAAGGTTACGCCTGCAATTCAGGATACCGTTACTGTTTTGGAGGCTGCAGATCCTGTTGTGGCTGCCGCTCCTGTAGTGGTGGCTGCAGCCCCTGAACCCCTGCTCGCCCCTGATCCTCCCCTGCCTTCAGTGGGCAAACCTTTCGTGGGAGGTCAGTTCCACGCCCAGGATGAAGCTGGACAGTACTCCTTCGCTCACTGGGGCGGCCCAAGCACCAGGGTGGAGACCCGAGATTTCCTGGGGCGTACCTACGGCAGCTTCGCCTACGTCAACCCCGACGGAGACGTCGAAGTGAGAAAATACGGTGCTTCACCAGCAACGGGATTTAGAGTAGCAGCTTCAGACTTGCCCGTGGACACCCCCAAAGTGGCTCAGTCTGAGAGTTTAGCCTTTATTGTCTCTGAACCTGACGCCACCTTGAAGGCAAACCCCGTCCAGGATGCTGCTACTATCCAGGATGCTGTTCCTATCAAAGTCTCCGCTCCTGACCCTGTTGCCACTGTATTCCATAAGACAAAGACGACTCTTCCAGTTCAGTATGGTCTCACAGCTTCTGTTGCTACAGAAAGTCATTCTGTTGAGCTGACTCCTTCAGTCCAATATACTGATTTAGCTCCTCTTACCACAGAAGTCCAGACGATCCGGTTGGCTACTCCGGTCACATATGTTGCTCCAGCTCCTGTTATCACAAATGTAGAGGTGGAAACTCCAGTAGAATATGCTTCCTCCGCTGATGTTGCCTCAGGGGTAGAAGTAGCTGCACCAGTTGCTGGTGTGGCTCCCGCACCTGTAATCGTCGCTGCCGCCCCTGAACCCCTGCTGGCCCCTGATCCTCCCCTGCCCTCAGTGGGCGAGCCCTACGTCGGAGGCCAATTCCACGCCCAGGACGAAGCAGGACAGTACTCGTTCGGCCACTGGGGCGGCTCCAGCACAAGGGTGGAGACCCGAGATTTCCTGGGGCGTACCTACGGTAGCTTCGCCTACGTCAACCCCGACGGAGACGTCGAAGTGAGGAAATACAGTGCTTCACCAGCAACGGGATTTAGAGTAGCAGCTTCAGACTTGCCCGTGGACACTCCCAAAGTGGCTCAGTCTGAGAATTTAGTTTTTACGATCTCGGAACCTGACATCACCTTGAAAGCCTCAACCTCCGCCCATGATATTGCTTCGACCAGAGCTTCTGCTTCAGTCGCTGTTGTTACACCTGATACTGCCACAACAGATGTTGCCACAGAAGTAAAAACGGTTCAGGTTCTTACTCCAGTCCAGTATGCGTCTACCCAGATCTACGTTCCAGAAGAAGCTGCCATTAAGATCCAGACTGTTACTCCAATTCAGTATATAGACCAAGGAGAGAAGGTGGCTTATCCAGTAGAGTCTGGTGCCTCATCTACCGTAGCGGCTAAATTACAGTTGGTCACTCCAGTAGAATCTGCAAACGTAGCTGTTGTTGCCACGGAGAACGAGGTGGACACACCAGTTGCTGTTGCATCTCCCGCCCCTGGATTGGTGGCTACTCCAGTCCAACATTCTGCGCCAGCTGTTGTTGTGGCTCCCGCTCCTGTAGTGGTGGCTGCAGCCCCTGAACCCCTGCTCGCCCCTGATCCTCCCCTGCCTTCAGTGGGCAAACCTTTCGTGGGAGGTCAGTTCCACGCCCAGGATGAAGCTGGACAGTACTCCTTCGCTCACTGGGGCGGCCCAAGCACCAGGGTGGAGACCCGAGATTTCCTGGGGCGTACCTACGGCAGCTTCGCCTACGTCAACCCCGACGGAGACGTCGAAGTGAGAAAATACGGTGCTTCACCAGCAGCGGGATTTAGAGTAGCAGCTTCAGACTTGCCCGTGGCCACCCCCAAAGTGGCTCAGTCTGAGAGTTTAGCCTTTATTGTCTCTGAACCTGACGCCACCTTGAAGGCAAACCCCGTTCAGAATGCTGCTACTATCCAGGTTGCTGTTCCTATCAAAGTCTCCGCTCCAGACCCTGTTGCCACTGTATTCCATAAGACAAAGACGACTCTTCCAGTTCAGTATGGTGTCGCAACTTCTGTTGCTACAGAAAGTCATTCTGTTGAGCTGACTCCTTCAGTCCAATATACTGATTTAGCTCCTCTTACTACAGAAGTCCAGAGGGTCCGGTTGGCTACTCCGGTCACATATGTTGCTCCAGCTCCTGTTACCACAAATGTAGAGGTGGAAACTCCAGTAGAATATGCTTCCTCCGCTGATGTTGCCTCAGGGGTAGAAGTAGCTGCACCAGTTGCTGTTGTGGCTCCCGCACCTGTAATCGTCGCTGCCGCCCCTGAACCCCTGCTGGCCCCTGATCCTCCCCTGCCCTCAGTGGGCGAGCCCTACGTCGGAGGCCAATTCCACGCCCAGGACGAAGCAGGACAGTACTCGTTCGGCCACTGGGGCGGCTCCAGCACAAGGGTGGAGACCCGAGATTTCCTGGGGCGTACCTACGGTAGCTTCGCCTACGTCAACCCCGACGGCGACGTCGAAGTGAGGAAATACAGTGCTTCACCAGCAACGGGATTTAGAGTAGCAGCTTCAGACTTGCCCACGGACACTCCCAAAGTGGCTCAATCTGAGAATTTAGTCTTTACGATCTCTGAACCTGACGTCACCTTGAAAGCCTCAACCTCCGCCCATGATATTGCTTCTACCAGAGCTTCTGCTTCAGTCGCTCTTGTTACACCTGATACTGCCACAACAGATGTTGCCACAGAAGTAAAAACGGTTCAGGTTCTTACTCCAGTCCAGTATGCGTCTACCCAGATCTTCGTTCCAGAAGAAGCTGCCATTAAGATCCAGACTGTTACTCCAGTTCAGTATATAGACCAAGGAGAGAAGGTGGCTTATCCAGTAGAGTCTGGTGCCTCATCTACCGTAGCGGCTAAATTACAGTTATTCACTCCAGTAGAATCTGCAAACGTAGCTGTTGTTGCCACGGAGAACGAGGTGGACACACCAGTTGCTGTTGCATCTCCCGCCCCTGGATTGGTGGCTACTCCAGTCCAGCATTCTGCGCCAGCTGTTGTTGTGGCTCCCGCTCCTGTAGTGGTGGCTGCAGCCCCTGAACCCCTGCTCGCCCCTGATCCTCCCCTGCCTTCAGTGGGCAAACCTTTCGTGGGAGGTCAGTTCCACGCCCAGGATGAAGCTGGACAGTACTCCTTCGCTCACTGGGGCGGCCCAAGCACCAGGGTGGAGACCCGAGATTTCCTGGGGCGTACCTACGGCAGCTTCGCCTACGTCAACCCCGACGGAGACGTCGAAGTGAGAAAATACGGTGCTTCACCAGCAACGGGATTTAGAGTAGCAGCTTCAGACTTGCCCGTGGACACCCCCAAAGTGGCTCAGTCTGAGAGTTTAGCCTTTATTGTCTCTGAACCTGACGCCACCTTGAAGGCAAACCCCGTCCAGGATGCTGCTACTATCCAGGATGCTGTTCCTATCAAAATCTCCGCTCCTGACCCTGTTGCCACTGTATTCCATAAGACAAAGACGACTCTTCCAGTTCAGTATGGTCTCGCAGCTTCTGTTGCTACAGAAAGTCATTCTGTTGAGCTGACTCCTTCAGTCCAATATACTGATTTAGCTCCTCTTACCACAGAAGTCCAGACGATCCGGTTGGCTACTCCGGTCACATATGTTGCTCCAGCTCCTGTTATCACAAATGTAGAGGTGGAAATTCCAGTAGAATATGCTTCCTCCGCTGATGTTGCCTCAGGGGTAGAAGTAGCTGCACCAGTTGCTGGTGTGGCTCCCGCACCTGTAATCGTCGCTGCCGCCCCTGAACCCCTGCTGGCCCCTGATCCTCCCCTGCCCTCAGTGGGCGAGCCCTACGTCGGAGGCCAATTCCACGCCCAGGACGAAGCAGGACAGTACTCGTTCGGCCACTGGGGCGGCTCCAGCACAAGGGTGGAGACCCGAGATTTCCTGGGGCGTACCTACGGTAGCTTCGCCTACGTCAACCCCGACGGCGACGTCGAAGTGAGGAAATACAGTGCTTCACCAGCAACGGGATTTAGAGTAGCAGCTTCAGACTTGCCCACGGACACTCCCAAAGTGGCTCAATCTGAGAATTTAGTCTTTACGATCTCTGAACCTGACGTCACCTTGAAAGCCTCAACCTCCGCCCATGATATTGCTTCTACCAGAGCTTCTGCTTCAGTCACTCTTGTTACACCTGATACTGCCACAACAGATGTTGCCACAGAAGTAAAAACGGTTCAGGTTCTTACTCCAGTCCAGTATGCGTCTACCCAGATCTTCGTTCCAGAAGAAGCTGCCATTAAGATCCAGACTGTTACTCCAGTTCAGTATATAGACCAAGGAGAGAAGGTGGCTTATCCAGTAGAGTCTGGTGCCTCATCTACCGTAGCGGCTAAATTACAGTTATTCACTCCAGTAGAATCTGCAAACGTAGCTGTTGTTGCCACGGAGGACGAGGTGGACACACCAGTTGCTGTTGCATCTCCCGCCCCTGGATTGGTGGCTACTCCAGTCCAACATTCTGCGCCAGCTGTTGTTGTGGCTCCCGCTCCTGTAGTGGTGGCTGCAGCCCCTGAACCCCTGTTCGCCCCTGATCCTCCCCTGCCTTCAGTGGGCAAACCTTTCGTGGGAGGTCAGTTCCACGCCCAGGATGAAGCTGGACAGTACTCCTTCGCTCACTGGGGCGGCCCAAGCACCAGGGTGGAGACCCGAGATTTCCTGGGGCGTACCTACGGCAGCTTCGCCTACGTCAACCCCGACGGAGACGTCGAAGTGAGGAAATACGGTGCTTCACCATCTACAGGATTTAGAGTAGCAGCTTCAGACTTGCCCGTGGACACCCCCAAAGTGGCTCAGTCTGAGAGTTTAGCCTTTATTGTCTCTGAACCTGACGTCACCTTGAAGGCAAACCCCGTCCAGGATGCTGCTACTATCCAGGATGCTGTTCCTATCAAAGTCTCCGCTCCTGACCCTGTTGCCACTGTATTCCATAAGACAAAGACGACTCTTCCAGTTCAGTATGGTCTCGCAGCTTCTGTTGCTACAGAAAGTCATTCTGTTGAGCCGACTCCTTCAGTCCAATATACTGATTTAGCTCCTCTTACCACAGAAGTCCAGACGATCCGGTTGGCTACTCCGGTCACATATGTTGCTCCAGCTCCTGTTACCACAAATGTAGAGGTGGAAACTCCAGTAGAATATGCTTCCTCCGCTGATGTTGCCTCAGGGGTAGAAGTAGCTGCACCAGTTGCTGGTGTGGCTCCCGCACCTGTAATCGTCGCTGCCGCCCCTGAACCCCTGCTGGCCCCTGATCCTCCCTTGCCCTCAGTGGGCGAGCCCTACGTCGGAGGTCAGTTCCACGCCCAGGACGAAGCAGGACAGTACTCGTTCGGCCATTGGGGCGGCTCCAGCACAAGGGTGGAGACCCGAGATTTCCTGGGGCGTACCTACGGTAGCTTCGCCTACGTCAACCCCGACGGAGACGTCGAAGTGAGGAAATACAGTGCTTCACCAGCAACGGGATTTAGAGTAGCAGCTTCAGACTTGCCCACGGACACTCCCAAAGTGGCTCAATCTGAGAATTTAGTCTTTTCGATCTCTGAACCTGACGTCACCTTGAAAGCCTCAACCTCCGCCCATGATATTGCTTCTACCAGAGCTTCTGCGTCAGTCGCTCTTGTTACTCCTGATATTGCCACAACAGATGTTGCCACAGAAGTAAAAACGGTTCAGGTTCTTACTCCAGTCCAGTATGCGTCTACCCAGATCTACGTTCCAGAAGAAGCTGCCATTAAGATCCAGACTGTTACTCCAGTTCAGTATATAGACCAAGGAGTGGAGGTGACTTATCCAGTAGAGTCTGGTGCCTCATCTACCGTAGCGGCTAAATTACAGTTATTCACTCCAGTAGAATCTGCAAACGTAGCTGTTGTTGCCACGGAGAACGAGGTGGACACACCAGTTGCTGTTGCATCTCCCGCCCCTGGATTGGTGGCTACTCCAGTCCAACATTCTGCGCCAGCTGCTGTTGTGGCTCCCGCTCCTGTAGTGGTGGCTGCAGCCCCTGAACCCCTGTTCGCCCCTGATCCTCCCCTGCCTTCAGTGGGCAAACCTTTCGTGGGAGGTCAGTTCCACGCCCAGGATGAAGCTGGACAGTACTCCTTCGCTCACTGGGGCGGCCCAAGCACCAGGGTGGAGACCCGAGATTTCCTGGGGCGTACCTACGGCAGCTTCGCCTACGTCAACCCCGACGGAGACGTCGAAGTGAGGAAATACGGTGCTTCACCATCTACAGGATTTAGAGTAGCAGCTTCAGACTTGCCCACGGACACTCCCAAAGTGGCTCAATCTGAGAATTTAGTCTTTACGATCTCTGAACCTGACGTCACCTTGAAAGCCTCAACCTCCGCCCATGATATTGCTTCTACCAGAGCTTCTGCTTCAGTCGCTCTTGTTACACCTGATATTGCCACAACAGATGTTGCCACAGAAGTAAAAACGGTTCAGGTTCTTACTCCAGTCCAGTATGCGTCTATTTCCACTGCTTAACTAATTTAACTTAAAAGGCGCTCCTGTAAATATGAAGGCATTATTTATCTGCCAGAAACGCTATGTGTGTTAGTGGCATTGCAAAAATGTAAAAATACAAATCTTATGTAATATCACCAACCCATTGTACCTTCTTGTGAATAAAATTATTATTATTATTATTATTATTATTTAATTTATAATTAACAATCGAGAATCAAATAAATCATTATGTAACTGAGCATTATATATTTTCCTCTAATCTTTGACGCAATCCGGAACCACAGATGAATTAATAGGTCTTTTTAATGTTATAATGTCTACCTAATAGACATGCCTACCTATTTTTTAATAGATTATAAAGTTAACTTTCTAGTGTAGGCTTATATACGATCCAGAGGGGAAAACCCTGCTGCATCCTCGGTTCCTGTCCTGAAGCGGAGGAGCTTCAAGAGATCCATAACCTTTAAGCACTCTTTGTATCAACCAATGTATATCTTGTAACATTTAAACATAAAATATTAAACTTTATTACAAAAAAGGAGTTACATATAAGGTACAAAGCTGATTATCATAAGTTGCACATTATGATAAGCTGTAACGCTGAAGTCAATGTAGGTGTTAGCCAGGGTTGATACACATGTGTAGTCCCACACCAACTGCTTACCATTCTTCCAGGGGTTTGCTGTGATACCATCCGGGCGACCAATAAGAGCAGCAGAGTTACGGGGCGTTAGGTAACGGGGCTCTCTCTCAGCTGGGCATCCAGCTGTGGTGAGGCTCCTCTTGATGTTAAGTTCACTGTGCCTCGAGTGCCATCCCACTGTGGTTTGGCAGAGTAGGCTACGGTGGTCGTGCCTGTCAGCCACCACCTCGCCGTAAATACACCTATAGTTGGTGTGGATTGTGGCAGAAATTCGAAGGGCGTGTGGTGTAAGACATGTGATGTAGGGGAAGAGCCTGTGGCTGAGTGGACAGCGCTTGGGACTCGTAATCTTAGAGTCAGGGTTCGATCCCCGGCGATGGCGGAAAACAAATGGGCTGAGTTTCTTTCATCCTAATGCCCCTGTTACCTAGCAGTAAATAGGTACCTAAGAGTTAGACAGCTGTGTGTGTGTGAATTTTTTTTGATCGATTGACAGTTGAGAGGCGGGCCGAAAGAGCAGAGCTCAACCCCCCCGCAAGCACAACTCGGTGAATACATTCTGTATTCTTTAGGCTTGATAGAGGCCATGCCAAGTACTGACGAATCCCAGGATGCAACCTAATGCAACAGTAGTACCATATTCTAATGTATATTTTGAAGCCGCCGGCTTCCTGTCCTTGTAGAGGCCACTCGTGAGATAGTAGTCCTCAGGTAAATTCCGGTAAATTATTATTATGAGATTTAATTTCTGAATTTCTTTTAAGTTTATCATCTACGAAAAAATAATTTAATTTCGTTTTCTATGAAAGATATTCATAAAAAACGAGTGTTGTGTTATATTTTATGGTAAACACTTGTATATTGTTTGTTCCTCTAATTTAAAGTTGATATATATTATATTTATAATTCGAATATGTTAATACATACAATATTTATAACGTGTATAGAGGCACATGAAGGTCCCAACCTTACCGAGACGCCCATTCCTGACACCCTCCCTGGCCTCAATATTTACCACGGCAAATCTTTGTTTACTAATATTCCGCCCCATCAAACCATCAGCGTCTGTAATGACTATCAACGGGCTCACCATAGCCGGTGCTACTTTGAACTTTGTTCCAGGTAGCGAATCTTAAACAACAAACAACTGTAATGACATGGTATTTGAGAACTCAGAGTGTCTTGACTGCTTTACGTGACCTCAATTGAGAAAACTAATGACCCTGGCAGCCAATTACTCTTATTCTTGTATATAGGCAATTATTCAAAGTTCAAATTGGAAAAAAATACCCCTAGGGGACTTAAGACAAGCCGCCGGATTCCTGTCCCTGTCGAGGACATTAGAGATATGGTCATCCTCAGGTAAATACTTGCACATTTATAGCCCTATAGTACAGTGGTCTACGTTCTTGACTCACAATCGAGATCACCAGGCGGGGGCAGAAATGATTGGTCACGTTTTCTTTCACTTGATACCTCTGTTCACCCAACAGTAAAAGCATTCCCCGGGAGGTAAACAACCGTTGTGGGCTGCATCCTGGGGATGGTCTGTAGTAAACTTAGGGGGACCTTGATCAACTTAAGTACAGGTTTTTGTGACTCTTTACAAACGGGAATTAAATTTAATATATAGCAGCTTAGAGTGTGACACTAGCAGCAACTTAGTGGCAGTGTTACACTAGCAGCAACTTAGTGGCAGTGTTACACTAGCAGCAACTTAGTAACAGTGTTACACTAGCAGCAACTTAGTGGCAGTGTTACACTAGCAGCAACTTAGTAACAGTGTTACACTAGCAGCAACTTAGTGTCAGTGTTACACTAGCAGCAACTTAGTGGCAGTGTTACACTAGCAGCAACTTAGTGGCAGTGTTACACTAGCAGCAACTTAGTGACAGTGTTACACTAGCAGCAACTTAGTGGCAGTGTTACACTAGCAGCAACTTAGTGACAGTGTTACACTAGCAGCAACTTAGTGGCAGTGTTACACTAGCAGCAACTTAGTGGCAGTGTTACACTAGCAGCAACTTAGTAACAGTGTTACACTAGCAGCAACTTAGTGACAGTGTTACACTAGCAGCAACTTAGTGACAGTGTTACACTAGCAGCAACTTAGTGACAGTGTTACACTAGCAGCAACTTAGTGGCAGTGTTACACTAGCAGCAACTTAGTGACAGTGTTACACTAGCAGCAACTTAGTGGCAGTGTTACACTAGCAGCAACTTAGTGACAGTGTTACACTAGCAGCAACTTAGTGACAGTGTTACACTAGCAGCAACTTAGTGGCAGTGTTACACTAGCAGCAACTTAGTGACAGTGTTACACTAGCAGCAACTTAGTGGCAGTGTTACACTAGCAGCAACTTAGTGACAGTGTGACACTAGCAGCAACTTAGTGGCAGTGTTACACTAGCAGCAACTTAGTGACAGAGTGACACTAGAACAGAGATAAAAATTATATTTAAAAGATAGTTTAAATTATCGTGAGGCTCCAGACACATGCTAGACTTCCCCATAATCAGTGTTCGATCCACTGAAACTATATTTCCTAGTATTCGATCCACTGAAACTATATTTCCTAGTGTTCGATCCACTGAAACTATATTTCCTAGTGTTCGATCCACTGAAACTATATTTCCTAGTGTTCGATCCACTGAAACTATATTTACTAGTGTTCGATCCACTGAAAGTATATTTACTAGTGTTCGATCCACTGAAACTATATTTCCTAGTGTTCGATCCACTGTAACTATATTTCCTAGTGTTCGATCCACTGAAACTATATTTCCTAGTGTTCGATCCACTGAAACTATATTTCCTAGTGTTCGATCCACTGAAACTATATTTCCTAGTGTTCGATCCACTCAAAGTGTAATCCATTCCCAATATGTCCACTTATCCACAGCGATTGATCAGCCAGTATTGTCACAACATGAGCCTTACCGCATAACAATCACCCACATAACCCACCCGCACATAGAATACCAAATACCCGCATAACACATCTCTCTACCGCATTAACCGTGTCAATTCGTGCTCTAGAGGGGTGAACTGATCAAAATTCTATTAAAGAAAACGCCAAAATGTATAAAAACAAAATTGTTGCCATTACGGGAGGGGTAAATTCAACAGGTTTGTGGTATGTGGCAGCGCCGCCGGTGGGCGGGGCGAGGAGGGCTGTGGGCGGCATGGGAGAGAAGCGAGTCAGTCAGTCTTCGACGCTTGAGGGGGTGTGACGTGCGGTGCTTCCAGGCTGAAGTTTTCTCTTGCCCGTGTCGACTTTCTGTAATAACGCTCTGTGGGGTAAGTGAACTCTGGGGTTTATATATCTTTATATATTCTTACCTATGTTTCGTAAGGCCAATGCAACACTACGTCCATTGACAAGTCATCATATACAATAATTAACATTGCTGGGAAAAATGCACTAACATTTTCATTAAATACATAAATTGATTTGCAAACAACATTTCGAAGTATTATCAAAATATTTTCAAATGATTTGGTTTATATATTGATAACTTAGGTGAAGTATTTATATTTAATTCTTTATCGCGAAACATATGGAGAGTTGTGTCATACTGGGGAACTAGATATTTAATGCTGGGTGATACATGTTGATGCTGTGGTCTGCTGGGTGACACATGTTGGTGCTGTGGTCTGCTGGGTGACACATGTTGGTGCTGTGGTCTGCTGGGTGACACATGTTGGTGCTGTAGTCTGCTGGGTGACACATGTTGGTGCTGTAGTCTGCTGGGTGACACATGTTGATGCTGTAGTCTGCTGGGTGACACATGTTGGTGCTGTGGTCTGCTGGGTGACACATGTTGGTGCTGTGGTCTGCTGGGTGACACATGTTGGTGCTGTGGTCTGCTGGGTGACACATGTTGATGCTGTGGTCTGCTGGGTGACACATGTTGATGCTGTGGTCTGCTGGGTGATACATGTTGGTGCTGTGGTCTGCTGGGTGACACATGTTGATGCTGTGGTCTGCTGGGTGACACATGTTGATGCTGTGGTCTGCTGGGTGATACATGTTGGTGCTGTAGTCTGCTGGGTGACACATGTTGGTGCTGTGGTCTGCTGGATGACACATGTTGGTGCTGTGGTCTGCTGGGTGACACATGTTGGTGCTGTGGTCTGCTGGGTGACACATGTTGGTGCTGTGGTCTGCTGGGTGACACATGTTGATGCTGTGGTCTGCTGGGTGACACATGTTGATGCTGTGGTCTGCTGGGTGATACATGTTGGTGCTGTGGTCTGCTGGGTGACACATGTTGATGCTGTGGTCTGCTGGGTGACACTTGTTTGTGCTGTGGTCTGCTGGGTGATACATGTTGATGCTGTGGTCTGCTGGGTGACACATGTTGGTGCTGTGGTCTGCTGGGTGACACATGTTGGTGCTGTGGTCTGCTGGGTGACATGTTGATGCTGTGGTCTGCTGGGTGATACATGTTGATGCTGTGGTCTGCTGGGTGATACATGTTGATGCTGTGGTCTGCTGGGTGATACATGTTGATGCTGTGCTCT